GGAGCTCCGCATGCTTTAGGGAGCTGCATGTGGGGCTGCAGCACTGCAGTGATAGCTGGTTTCCCTTTCCTAAACCTACAAGGAATGCCCTGGAAAGAACAGCTATATTCTGTTCACATGTTTACAATATCAGGATTTAGAACTCAAGTTGTTAGCTCCTTAGGCAGCACAAGCACCAAAATGTGGCTGAACAACAAGGGGTGTGAAATACTGAGACACTGGGCTGTAAATCCACTAGGTCACCTAAGATTTCTCAAAAAGCGCTATCATTTTATGTTCAGTGACAATTCTGCCCTAAAACCCTTAATTTACATTGATCTAAACTTTAATCTGCATGGTAATATGTTTGTTAAGTTATGCATAACAAACCGCTTTGCTGGTTTAGACTATAACCATGAATGGTAGTTCCAAGAATCATGTTCTGCATTTTTACATATTTTTTAAAGCAATGTGTGTAGCAGGGGGGAGATTTAAGAAATCAGTAGAGAATGCACTGRTAGATAAAAGCCTTGCAAATTGTCTCCTGAGCCTCTGTTAGCACAGCTGTTTTGCATTCTGGTTTTGAGAAGTACACGTGGAAAACTTTTAACATTTACCTGAACAAGTGTTGAAAGAGGTTGATGTTGTGTTCTACTTTTTTTGTCAGCATTAAAAACAGATGTAGTGCTGAAGGTGTTATGGGCAGCACAGTGATGTAATTGTGAACCAAAGCTGACATTTTGATGTCTTATCTGCAAGTCTTTAAGACTGTAGTTAGATAAAGTGCATTTTAATGTGATTTTTCTCTTGTTGTTGTTATTATTGGCTGGCAAACAGTTTGACTGTGTACATGCATGGTAACATTTTATATATAAATTGATATCTATTTGGTGGTGTAGAGATATACACACACAAATATATTTAATTTATGTCTGTAAGCAAAATTGTGGTACAAGCTATTTGAACATGGCCTTAAAATCTGTTTCCCTTTGTATTTACTAAAGTAAGTCTTCAGTGCTACCCAATATGAAATGACATATGACAGCTACTTGCTTAATTATAATTTTTGCAACTACCTCTTGATTAACATATATAAAAAGCCTCACTGATGGGTGTTGATTGATTAGGTTCTATTTAGAATAAAGACTGGAGGCATGATGTTGGAGGATTAAATTTTGATGTTCAAGAAAGCTGAAACCAGAAAAAGCTGCCTCTTCCATTGCAAGGAGGACAATCCTTTGCCCTGCCCTGTGCAGTCACTCCCAACTGATGTTGAAGCCTGGAAAGATCAGGGAGGCAAGGATAATCCTGAATTTCCCTGTCAGTTCCAGCTGGGAATAACAGGTACGGTTTTGGTAATCCAGGCTCCTGAATACCTGTAGCTTTGTAAAAATAAATATATACACAAATAAATAAATTTCTAGAACCTGGATCTTTTCTGAAGACTGTAGAGCCCATCTCCAGAAGTATTTACCAAGCCATCTTTAATACAACCCTAACATCTTCTYGCTAAGGATGTGGACTTGCTCTTTTCTGCGTGTCATGCTCATGTCACCAGCACAGCTTCTTTCCTCTCTGGTGCTGGTGCCTTGCCCCAAATGCTGATGTGGTGAGGAAACACACAGTGGAATTCTTACAGCCTTGGGAAACCACTGTGGTGATATCCCGATGTGARCAATTTGGCTGAATGATGACTGAGAAGATACATTTCCATAAATATTTAAGTAAGTACAGTCGGAGGAAGGCTTAAGAGTTTCTCAAAATGTTATGTTTCATTTATTTGTCAGTATATGCTTGCCAGCTGGTAGATGCACTGTTGTTATTTATCAGGAAAAACTGATCAAAATATATGGAGCAGGAGGAAAAGGGAGCTGATTGGATCTTTCTGGTCATCATCATGTCTGACCATATTCTGTTGAGGAGGTATGTGACTTCTGAAATGGTATTTTTTTCTGGCTTTTCCTCTGTAAAACAAACCCCCCAAAATTACAACTATCGTTACAGATTATAGGGAGTATTTTTTTACCTTTTGAGGCAGCTGATAGTTAAATAAGGTTCTACAGTTTTCCAGAAAGTAAAGTTTTATTTTCCACTTGGTACTTTTGATTATTTGTTTTTTACAGAGTGAGGCAGTGCTCCTTTATCTATGCAATTGCTGTGTAGCTGAAAAAGAAAGTGGTAATGAGGCAGTTCATGACCAAGAGTGTCGAGTGAAATGTGGCCACATCTTTCAGCTCTGCTTGTGCTGTTCTGTTTGTCTGAGGGGTTTTTCAGGAAAGTCTGTTCAGAGACCTGAGGTCTCAGAAGGTGCACAATAATGGTGATGCTTATGTACACTCATGATTTTTACTGTACCCTTTTTGTCAGCTTACCCACAGAGTTAAATCCCTTGCTCTTTTACTATAAGTTATCACATAAAAATATTTGTTCCATGAAACAAAACGAAGGGAAAAGCATATTATAAAGCATGCATTTTACCTATAGCCAAATTGCTGCAGTCTAAAGTAATATTTCAAGTCCAGACTTACAGGGTTTCCCTCCCTAAATGTTTATTTTGCTAATTCTGCTGTAGTTAAAGTTGCAGTGCAATCAGATTTAAACCCAGGGTTAGCACTGAGGAGTCCCTGTAAGGTCCTTGAAGAAAAGTGTCCCCGATTCCATGGGGCTCAAGGGAGGCAGCAGCCTTGGAGCTGGATAGCACAGAAAGTGGGTGCAGGACAAGGAGCAACGGGTGCAAACTGAAAGAGGGGAATTTCGGGTACAGGTATGGGAGCAATTTCTTACACTGAGGGTGCTGAGACAGGCTGCTCAGAGAGGTTGTGAATGCTCCATTCCTGGACGTGTTCAAGGCCAGGCTGGATGGGGCTTGGGCATCACTGGTGTTCAGCCATCTCCACTGGCTGCGACTCCTTCTGGGGCTGGCTCAGGGCTTTCCTCTCTGGAAGCAGATGGATGCTAACTATACATCTGTGCACATGGTAAACATATCTAGCAGCAATTTGAACACCTAAAATTAATGTAGCACAGGTCTTACTAAACAATTCCAGGAAACAATACTGTGAGCTGATCCTGAATGTGAAGCCAGTCTGTAAAAGACAGTCTGGCACATAACCAGGTTAGGTTCCAAAACAGGTTAGGACTGTTGCTTAAGGTAGCAAACAACAGAATAAAAAGAACCAATAGAGCAATAAAAGAAAAGGAATTTACATACAAATATCCCATTGTTCTGGTTTACCTCATCAAATTTTCTCTCCTCACCAGCCTTAGTAAGATGAAATGATATGGAATTCCATTCACATCTCCTTCAAGGCAGGGGGAAAGGTAGAGTGAATTCATACCTTTTTCTCTTGGATGGAGCCATTTTTATGCAAGTCTGCGGTAGGCAGGGAACAAGTGCATTTAAAAAAGGAGTTGTAAGAACAATGAAGAAATGGAAGGAAAGTTCAGTCACTGAAATGGAGGCCAGCCTGCTGAGAAGTGTAGAGGTTTATATTTTATTTTTCTTCCAGTAGCAGCTGCTTTTCTTTTGTAGCTTTTTGCCCATTTTTTTTTTTAACAAATCTCTTCCCTGCCTCACTTGAGCCCTGGGGTTCTCTCTGGGGTTTTATTTAGTGGTACTGAAGAGGGAAAATATTTGGGTGCATATCAGACATCTCCACACACTGCACCTTCCTCCTACAGTGGCCCAGACAGATCTCTGGAGAGGGAGAATGGAGAAAATCCTCCCTCACTGTAGTTGCTGGTGTGCAGGTAGAATGTTTTATCACAAGCCTGGAGAATTCTGATGCTCTGCAGCAACATGCTGAGATCAGGCTTGGGTTAATAAAAGCAATGAAACCAGCACTTAACTTCCAAATGGATTTCCATGGAGACAGCCAGACAGTAATAGTGTTTGGACTTTTTTATTCAATAAAAGTTTGAGTTATAAATATTTTCCATTTGCTTCCTATTTACAGTTGTAAAATATTTTAGGGTAGCCTACCCATCACCTGTCATTCAGCATCTCTATAAATGTAGTGAAAACATCATTGTGAAATAAAAACATCTTATTTCCAGCCCACAAACCCTATTTCCACACACTCACAAAATAAAAYCAGAGACAAAAAAGAGGAGAGAAGGAACTGGGGGGATGGGGAGCGAGACGAATACAGTACAGCAGGCAACAATGCAGGACTTGCTACACAGTAGCAGAAGAAATGGGAACAAAATTGAGTCTGCTATGATGACAAGCTGCTCAGGACATTTGTGATGGACCAGCGCTGTCCAGTGCACCTCTGTAGCACCAGCTGAAATCCAAATTCGTTTTCATTGTTTTCCTGCAATTCCAGGCAGCGCTTGGATTTTCGGTTCTGGATAGGACCTCCCTTTAAAGAGGGGGGAAAAAAAGAGAAAGAAATATTTGTGTTAAACATTGTGAACTTGTTGCATTGCTACTGTGTGCTAACATAAATTATAGAACATTCCAGCGTGTGTCTACTGTGAAAAACTTTCCAGTTAGAGACAAGATAAGCACTAGGTCATATTTGGAACGAAAGTTCTTTTGTCACAGGCTGGTTTAATCTCTGATGCAGTTTGCAGTAGCCTCAATTGCCTGATTTCCATTTCAGCAAATGGGATTTCTGGAATTGAGCTGTGTTTCCAGCCATGCATTTTAACCATGAGCCAAAGTATCATCACTGGATGTTCAGGACACCAGACTTCATGGCTTGATCATTAGACTGAATAACAAACCCACTTTTCTTGTCATCTGTATTATTATTTCATCCAGATTTATTTGAATTCCAAGGGAGCGTTTTTCTCATTTTCTCATCTCAGACTGTAGACAATGGTTTGGTAGCCAAATCTTGGTTTTGTCTCCATTGGGATTAAAGATGCAACTTTTACTGACTTGATCAGGACAAAGTTCTGGCTTTATCTGGGAAGTCAGAAATAATAACAGCAAAACTCCTTCCATCCCTCTCCCAGCTGAGAAATGCAGAAGCCAAGCAGCGATGGGTGCAGCAACGCGAAGGAAGGAGCAGGAGCAGAGCTCAGATCTCCTGAAAGTCAGGACTTTGCCGTGGTGAGTGCTGGTTATCATTTGGCTTCTGGAAACATTCTGCATTTGGCCATGGTTCTGCACGTGACATGACAATGCCACGCGGTGCCTTGCCAGCAGCTGTCACCTGCCATTTTTGGATGTAGCCTCTCCGGACGGCTGAAATTAAGAAGATTCATGTGCAACCAGAACAAATAATTTCTTTGTAAATAAATGTGGCATTTAAAATGAGATGCTAAAATATGCAAATGAGGTATCTGTTTTGAAGGAAAAACATGGGTATGTGTTAACTTTCTTCTAAATTAATTCAGCACAAGTGTCTTTGGAGCTTAAATGTAGTCCTCAGGAGAGTAAATACTGCATAATATGAAATGCTAGAAAAGATTTGAAATGCACCCACTAAAAGCTCATTTTACTGCTATATTTCACACAAACTTTCTATCTGGCAAGTTCTACATCCAATTTGCAAGGATTAAAACTTGCTACTAGAAAATTACTCCAAATAGAAGCCAAAACTGATACAATGAACTTTTGGTTACTACTAGCTATAGCAATAACTACCAAGCAAATTTACCATCAGTTAGCTATAATTTCCAAGCAAATCTAACATCAATTGTTAAAATACAATACCGTATAGTTATACATGTATTTCATATTTTTGTGCATGTTTTTTGCATATACATTTTCATATTTAAGTTGAAGTCAAGTATTCAAAATGGAGAAGAGCCTGAATGCATTCAGATTTTTGTACCTCTCCATTCCATTCTGCATAAATGGTACTAAAATGTTTATAGGCTTATATTGAGACACAGTTTATGGTGAATAAAAAGAAATATTTTAATACACCTTTTTTAAAATTAATAGTGTCATATTAAAATATGACAAGAATATTAAGTTACATATGGCTTAGGGGCAAATTTACTAGAGCTCAATGAAAGTTGAGACATTAACTATTGCTTTCTCATGTCCAAGCAGAACAATGGCTCAGGTTCCTTGTCCTCCAGCTATAACATCCTGTGCAGTTTTCCAGTTAGTTCAGATATTAAGTACAGGCAAGCTGGGGTAATATTTGATCAAAAGAGGGAAAGGATTTCTAAACAGAGAAATGCTGCTGATGTACTAAGTGTACCAACACTGGTTTGGGGCTTGTGGAAATGCTCTTTTGTGTCTGAGGTTCAAAACTTCACACTTGGCAACACTGGTTACTTAAAAAGCAGATAGCCTCACTAAAAATACAGAGCTTAACTTAGTCTATAGGCTCATTTAATTGAGTAATTAGGTTCTGTTTTTCTTTATATTTCTCCTTTAACTGAATCACAATCCCTTTCTGTTCTGAGCTGCCAGGTAAACAGCACTGCTAATTATATGGTGCTATAGCAGTAGAGCATGTCTTAAACTACAAAGACATATTGAGAATATTTGCCTCCTTTGTGGTTAGAAATACCACATAAATCCAAACTCTTGATAAATGAATGATGCTGTTTTTCCAGCCTGCAGCTCTCACAATGGAAGAATCTGGTGAAGCTGATGGGGGTCACTGTTCCCTTAGACCCACGCAGCTCTGGTGAGATGAATCCCTCTTGTACACTGATGTCCTTGGCTAACGGATGGGATGAAAACACGAGTGGACATTAGGATGAGGCTGCTGTTTAATGGTGTTGGGCTCTGCTTCTGCACTCAGTGTGCTCACCAAGGGGCCATCTGAAATTGGTACAGAGATTCCCTGCTTGATTCCCAGCCCACCAGTTTAATTCTGCCTCACAGCCTGCATTCCTGTACTTCTCTGGAATGTGGCTGTGGGTAATGCAGCACTGYGCATCCTTTATTTTCATTAGCTAAAGGTGGGTAAGAGTAACTGAAAGGCCAAAGTCTACAGGAGCAACAAGATGTAAATTCAGTAATTTTAAGGTCTGTTCTTTTTTTTATACAGCTAAACACAGTATCTGTTATCTATTACCTAATACCTATTTAAATGAGATCTAAATCATCATATTTATCTGTGGAATACTGCAACAACTCAGTAATTAATTTGCTTGTCTGTCTTTCCTTTTCCTTCCAAAGCAATTTTGACTCTTGATGTTTAGGAAATGCATGCATATTGTAACTACAGCTGTCAGCAGCAAATTTTATTTACAGTTTCTTGGGATGGCATAAACCACCCCCTCCAAACATTTATGGATGGAAGAAACTCTGTGGAAACCTTCAATGGTGACTAGAATCACAATTCTCCACAGCATGCAAAAGCAAYGTTATCAGAGGATATGGGAACAGGGCAGCGCTGAGAGCAGCTCTGCACATCCTCTCCCTCCCCTGAAGGATGTGGTGAGAGTCCATCCCCTATAGAGGCAGAGTCCTCTTACCTTTCTAAGGCAACCACACTGGAAGCTGAGGTACTTCAATTAAGTTGTTGACTCTAAACTGCAGAGGAGCAGCTGTGAGACCAGGCAAACTCACACTAGCTAGGACATTTCCCCCAGAAGCTAAATCATGCACTTGTTTTCAAAATAATACAATTTCATTTCATTGATTACCAGCATGCTGGTACCTGATATGGCAAAGTTCCATTGTGTTAAACTTACCTTAGGAAAAACTCCTCTTTCTTTAAAAAACGGAATTTGACTGTCTTTAGCATTACCACTGGAACCTGTTTTGTCTTCCGGATAACCTACATCCCTCTGTGGAAACACTGAGAAGCTTTGGGTCACCCTGCCATTTCTTCTTWGCTGAACCAGAGGGATCTCCATTAGTACTGTGTGGCAAAGCATCTTTTCTAGCCCCGGAACTTTTGTGGCTTATTTGTAGTTCTGTATTTTTCTAAATCTGTCATGAAGTTGGACACCAGGCTTGCACGTAGTGTCCTGTCAGCATTCTCATCCCTGTGAAAATGCTTTTCAGCCTTTCCAGGAGCCTCTTTCTGTACCTTTCACACTCATGCATAAAAGCATTAGTCTTTTTAAGACAGAAACTGCAGAACTACTCATTGTGGGGCTGTTATCAACAATGACCCACTATCCCCTTTTCTGAGTTGTTACTTCTAAAAAGACCAAACCAAAATATTTCTGGTCCTGGTTCCCAAATAGGTTACTTTGCATTTGACTCCACTGAAATAACCCTTTTCCCCCCCATAACAGTACTGTGCCTTAGATACAAGTTATTCATAATGAACTCAGAAAATATAATACAAGTTTAGTACCCTACTGAGGTAGCTGACATAACTGGGATCAAATCTAAACAACATCTTGGCTCTGTGCAAAGAAAGCAAGGACAAATCTGGTTCTGTTCTGTTAGTAAACAGATTACTCACACTTCTGACACAGAAACAGAGCTTTAAAACTTTCTGAAATGCCTGCTGGGTAAGAATTACCTGAGTAAATTGCCAGTAAAGCTTCATTCTCTTGGCTTTGGCATAATTGCATTCAATGAGCCTGGGCCTGCTGTTCACATCCACCAGGCATCTGTTGTCATCATCGTCGATAGTGGGGCTCAGAACACCCACGTGGAGCTGCTGACTGCTCGTGTAATAAACATTCTGCAACAGCAAGCACAAACAAGATTTGTGGCCTCTACACAGAAGCAGCACTTTTACCCAAAATCTAATGGCAAAGATAAATATGCTGACTAGCAGGAGGCTGACCCCATAGTGGCTTTTAAATTACTTTCTTTCATGCAGGAAGCAACACAAAATTTCAAAAGTTGGTCTGAATTAATTGCTCATTGTTATCAACAAGTCAATGCTGGTTAAGTATTTAAGAGAAAATATGCAAATACAGCTGATGATTTTCTCCTCGTGTGTCTTTTTATTTCTGTTTTCTATGGCCATACTGAGGGTCTACAAAGAGCAAGATAAACACCCTGGGACTGGCTTGAATATGGCCATCAGCTCTGATTAAACTATTTCATCTGAGGATAATACTTCACTGGAGATGGAAAAATAAAGAACAGCAGCACAGGAGTTCAGAGCATCTCGATCTTTTATAGGACAGAAAGATGTTTTCTACAAAAAAAATGCTAAAACGCACACTTGAAGCAGCTACTATATACAATAAAAAGTTATTAGCAACTGGTGACAGACACAGGCAGCAGAGAGATCACAATGGCCATGTTTCAGGGCATTTGTTCTCATTTTACTTTCTATGTGTCAATACACACAGACAAGAGACTGGAAAAAGGGAGAGACACTGGCTGCTCTGTATTTCTAGCCAAGCAGTGCCCTCAAAGGCCTCAGGGATTACACGGACCAAAGACATGAGTTTATTATATTATACAAATTTTTGTTACTCTGTTTGACTACAAAGATACGTGTGAGGCTTCTCTAGAAGAAAGAAAAAGAAGGGGAAGGAAGGTGAGCATGCCAGACGGAGGCGATACATCATCTTGAAGGTTAACATTTTACATAAAAGCCCAGGAAGGTAACACAGGACTATGCCAGGACTGCCTGCCTGCTGACCACAAACAGGAGGACCCTGAGAAAGATGAAATGGAAAAATCACATTGTAGGTGTTGAGTCTCTGATAACTCTGGTAACAGTCACAACAGACAATAGTGCTCCTGTCCACTCATGTCCCTGTCATTTACTGGAGCTATTCTATTTGCCTGTAGCAAAAAAAGAAGCTGGAAGTTATGCTGTGTGTATGTTGGAATCTTTTCTATTCTCAGAATTTCCTGGTATTTGTTTATTGTTGATGTTGTAACTTGTTTTGTATGTGAGCGTTCTTATTTGTGAAAACTGATAAAATAGGAGAGAAAGCAGAAAAGCAGAAGCAGCCATGTCTGAGGAGAGATTTAGGAGCTTCATGTTAAAAAAAAAAAAAAAAAGGAAAAAAAAAGAAAAAAGAAGGCATGCTGAAAGCAGTCAGTGCAGGGATTAAATACAATCAAAACAAATGGTGGTATTTTGGGCAAGACTGTGTCCGCTGTTTACCCTCCTGTAACACTGCCAGGGCAGATGTAAACTGGGCTGCATAAAAGTTAATTAAGTTACCAGTAATGRTATCGATGAATCCAAGGTTTTGCCCCCCCTTAATGAAGTTTCATTGTTTTCACCCCATAAAAATGATAACAAGCCGGAGCTGGCTGAAGTGAGGTGAGTGCAAGTTTAAAGAGGTTGCACAGTGAAAAGCTGAATGGTTCAGTCAGTGCCTACAGGTGGGGAGAGCAGGGTGATAAAAGGAGCAGGCAGAGCACATTGCCCTTCTTTTCCTACATCATCTCAGTGCTCGTGGGCCGAGTGGCTCTGAAAGGGCAGCTTTGGGCACTGACCAAAAACCACAACAGCTCCACTGTCCTGGGGCTATGGGCTCCAAAGCCCTTCTGCACCAGCCCCAGCTCTGCATCAAAATCCAAAACCTACTTCCAGCTTTATCGTCTAAAAGCCCAGTGAAATTTCACCTCCACATTTTCAAATGTTTTGCTGTTGTAACCTGCTGAAATCATTGTGACCAAAACAAGCCGTACAAAAAAACTATAGCATAACACAAAGGAAAAAATAAGCCTGGAAATGTATGTGCATTTTTATCTCCTAGATGAGAAGAGTTCTGAACTGTTGCATAATATTCAGGATAACAACTCTCATCTCTTCTAAATTAAAACAGTACATGAGAGCTTGAAATGCTCTGATAATTTTAAATTCTTAGGCACTGCAGTTGCTCTTAACAGTTTGTTTCAATTACATTTTCAATACAGGGKTTTTTTTTTCATTACAGCTATTCTGGGCAAATGGCCTTAAAAATGTAAATGTAGGGAAGAGAGCTCTTACAGTGACCATGAGAGGCTCAGTAATAATTATTTGAATATTATAAAATAAATTTTAAAAAATCTAAAGAAGGCATTGCATAGCCTGAAAATCGATTACTTTGATACTCCTCTTGCCTTCTTCCTGCATCAGCCTCACCTATTTAACAAAATGCTGAATAAATTGTTTCTGGTCAGACTATAGAGACAGCAGATGTATGTCCCTCTCCTCCCATATCAATAACAGATGTATCAACTGTGGACAAGATAACCAGAAAAGATGATAAAGATGGATTTAGTCATACACAAAGGYGACAGAATTCAAGATGAAGAGAAAAACCCAAAAGCTGAGAGATAAATGCAACACCTAAAGCCATACAGAAGACGTGCAAGGTAATGAGAACATGACATACAAAACACAAAGTGAGAATACTTCATAAATTATTAAAACAAAATCTGTGAGGAGCCTTCTGTGATGTACAGCATCATCAACTAACCAGCTTTTCTTAAAAGCAATGAAGAAAAACCTTCCCAGAGAAGTCGCAGACTAAGGAAGCCCTGGGGTTCTGTGAGCCCTGGGGTCCAACAGAGGAGGGCAGAGGTGTTAATTGATTCATTGATTCATTGATTCATTGATTAATCCCACTGTCTCTCCACAGGGCATCCTTTGTGGCCTTGGGGTGCTCTGAGCACTCCATGAGCTCCCTTGCTACTATTTTTTGCTGACACGATGCATGATTCTTTTCAGCAGTAAAGGATGAAAGCTGAGTTTATCAAGCCTAGGTAAATCACATCAGACTTTTTGCCAGTTGAAATTTCTATTATCTCTGTGGAAATCCTGCTTTACTAGGCAAAAGCTGAGGAACAGAATGTCTTTGATAGCATTTTCTGAGTACCCTTCTGACATTACTTCTGCAGSATTTGCAATCTTTCCTGCCATTAAAAGTTAACTCACACTTCTCTATCTTTCCAGCACATCTTCTAATACACGGGAAATCGCACCAGTGCTTCTACTGCAAAATATTAAATAGTTCTGCTATCATGAAAGAGCTCTTACCCATTCTCTGGGTTGAGCACTTCCCTTTTATTTAGAAGAATGGATGAGTGAACAGATACAGCATATTACAGACAACTGCTTTTATTCCTGTTCTATTTTGTGGTTCAGAGTTTTATTTGCTTTTTCAAACACCTGTCYTCTCTGGCACTGGCCAAGGTATCTTTGACTCTCCTGCTGCACCTGCCTGCCTAAAGGAGCAGTCATTTCTCAATCAGAAAAATGCTCAGCTATTTCTTTCTCTTAAAGCCTTCTTGGCTCTAAATTTTGAGGTAATTCAAGTTCTTAATATTCTTCCTCACAGCACTCAAAAGAATTTAACTACTTTTTGAATTCTTGCTTTTTAATTTCAGTTCAGKTCCTGGAACCTGAATGTCAAGATTAGAACTTTAGCCAGATCACTGGTTTCACTTATAGCAGTATTTTCCTTTTTCATTATTCATGCTCACCTTCAGCAGTGATCCTATGCACTAGGGAAGAATATAGATTTCAGAAGCATATAAGACATTTTAAGGTTCTTTTTTTTTTTTTTTTCCTTTCTAGGCCATTCTATTGAAACAAAGATAAAATTTCTTCAAAACGAAACCATTTCTCCAAGACTACAAAAATCCTTTATTCTTCCAAATGAGAAAATCAATGTTACTCTTGGGAAAAAAAGGATTATTTTTCAACTCTCTCATTTCACCATGGCTGGAGTTTCAATTCCAAGTGATCAGTTCTCTCAATTCTCACAGGCACATGCAATGTTTTCACACTACATGGTTTCAAATACAAAAATAAATAAGCAGAAATATCCATTCCGTTATTTCCAAATTGAGGGATGTAAAATATATTCCCTCTAAACCAGAATAATGTAGCTCTACAGCTTTTTTCCTCTGCCATTATTTTAAACCAGTGAAGTGTAATATATAGAAGACCTATCCTAGGTCTGAGACCTGAAAAAGAACCTCTTGTGCTTGTTCCTTTGAGTTCCAGTGTCTTTTACCCTCTGACCAGAGAATGACATTCATTATGTCTGGTACTTCCATAAAATGAGGAGACAGGTTAGTCCCTGTGCTATTATTATAAAGACCTGTGTTCAGTTGCAAAATAAAGTGTGCAAATCCCTCACATCCATCAGATCCTCTGATCTTCACTTGCAATGAAAAATTCTCTTATTTAGGTTGGAAAAGACTTTTAAGATCATCCAATCCAACTGCAAAGCTAATGCTGTCCCAGCAAGTACAGAAATAATTCCCTTATAGCAAATGACTCGGTATCAAATTGCTTCAAGCCCAAAAATCAGATTAACAGGTTCTCCCTCTGAAACTTTGCACTGAAGTAAATAATGAGAATTTGGCCAGAATCAAACTTCAGGAAAAAGATTAAAAAAAAAAGGTAATATATAATGTGAAATGTCCTAATCCACAACACATCCCCAAGAAGAAAGTGTTGCACTGCCTGTGCTAGGCCAAGCAGGACTGGTTGGTTTTGGAAGCCTTTGAAACATCTCTGTAGCTCCCTGACACACCTGTCATATATTCTGAGGCTGCAGCTTTGAAAAAGTATTCAGCTTCTCAGGTGTACACAGAAAAACTCAGCTTTGAAAAGGATTCCAAAACACCAGATTTTGCTTCTCTTGCAAACAAGGTCACAATTCCTATTAACTTTCCTATGATCAAARTCAGGATTCATGCACTGAAAGAAATTAGCAGAAATATAAATAGCCTTAATAAACTACTGAGCAGGAATGTCTTATATAAGACATTAATTGTAAATCTGTATTTAGAATCCCACTTCATTGATCRATGGTACTTATTTATTATATAATAAAGTCTCTAACAATGTGGTATTGTATATCATTGTGGTATATATATCATTCTCATGAAAGAATCTTCCAGGCTATCGCTCAGGAGCAGTTTTAATGAGAGTGAATGCTGTCATCAGCCTGCCTTCAAGATTACAGGCTGGTTCAACAGCAGTCTCAAACAACAACAAACATCCAGGCTCAGGCAGATCCCAGAATTAGGAAGGGAATGCAGTCAGGCCTGGGATAAGTGTCTACTGCAACTACAGGCAAACACCTTTGACATGCAAAACAGGGGCACAGCTAAAAATACATCATTTAAGGTCTGAACATATGACKGAATTGTTGCTTTTCTTCAACAAGTTCAGGAATTAGAACAGCAACTTTCTCCTTTTCTGCATGAACCACTTAAAAAAMCCCAGCAAAASCCTCAGAGCCTCACACCAGCTTTAGGTTTTATGTACTGTCTTGCCAGTACCATTCTTCTGCTTTCACCTCTATCTCCTCTCACTGTGGAATGGAAGTACTAAATAAACACATTTCTAAAGTACCTCAAGATACAACATTTTAATTATGAAGRAGCAGAATCTTGTCAAGAAGAGTTTCCCTTGCCTGTTTCCCCTCTGTCATTTCTTTGCTGCTATCTCATTTGTACRGAACTTGAGCTGACATTCAAAGGTAGTTCTTTATCTGCTGAATACTGAACTGTGCTAATTGAAGTGACTTCTGTTATTGTTGTTTGTCTCTCAAMTATAATTAAAATTTCTAATTGGAATTTGCAAGCACGCCTGCCGTGTTCTGTTGTCCCAGATGATGAGGCACCAGAGTTACGGTGCCCTCGCAGAGGATGAGGATGAGGATGAGGAAGAAGAGCCCTGGCTCAGGGGGAATCCATCATTGCTTTGCAAACACTGAGGGCTGTCTCACAAACCCGCTGCAGGCAAGCAGCAGTTCCCCCAGAACTGTGTGACAAACAAGGCACAGCCTGTGCWGTGAGTGAGTCTGATGGATGGCATTTGCAGGTATTGCTGACTTCATCATTCATAACTTACTGAAGCACACTGCCACTACTGATCAATATTAAAGGCTCTCAGCAAAGGAGCAGTGCAGAAAGGAGTTTGAGCACGTGCAGCTTGGCAGGGAGTACAGAATCGTACCTGCAGCTCACCAAATTCATGTTCCCACTTCACTGTGAGGTGCAGGCACAGGGGACAAGACCACAAGTCCACCCTGCTGCTCTGTATTTATTTCTGAGACACGACGAGGATTTATTGGCTGTATAGCCAAATCAGGTAACTGACAATTCCTGYGTAAAAATCACATTCCGTAGGGTAGTGGGTTTAGGGTTATTATAGGGTTTTTTCAAGAAAGCAAATATAAAAGGTAACCAGGTAAAAAAAGTATTCAGACTGGAGGGATTTTTGAGTTTCTCCAATCACTCCCACAAGCATGTCCATTCATGTAATTTTTGCGTATGTTACTTTTAAGGTTAAATAATGTGCACATCTGTCTTTGACAAGCATGTTCTAGGCCATGCAACATTATTTTTCCTGTCAAAATTTGCCTTGAAACACTTTCCCTTAAACCCATGTACTTTAGTTGGGGAGACACACGTCTTTACCCTCTTGCTTGCCAAGATAGTAAATCCAGATGTGATGTAAGAAAATGGAAATGGTTTAATAATTTGGGTTTTTAGCACATACTAGAGTAACAGGACAACAGCAGAGAAAAAAAAAAAGGGCTTTAGAAGAGGGGTTTTCACAAGAACAGGGCTTGGAATTTGACACAGTAAAATGCAAAGAAGGTGTAAAATGCAAAGAAGGTGGTTGTACATTTCAGATTAGTGGAAATGACACAGTAAATATATAAAGTAAAAAAAAACATTTGCTTCAGATAATGCATAAATAAACTGAGTGTATGCAAATAAAGTGTGTGTATGCAAAATGTTTTAAAATGCATTGCTTCATTCATATGACACRCACAGTTAAGGATGGGAAATGAAAGCTTTTATCAGCAAATCTGGGTTGGTGCTGACTCTCATATTCCTTAAATTCTTTCAAAATGAATAAATCAACTTCCTTGTGAAAGCATTAATATGCCAGGGCTTCTCGATTTAGAGCAGAAATAATGTTCTGTCTTTCCCCAAAGGAACTGCCAAACATCCTAGCGAGGGGTTGTTGCAGGAAMCAATGACAGGTACGAGATGGTTCATCCCCCACAACCCGTGAAGCACCAGCAGAGAKCACAGACAAACTCACCTGAGGTGTCAGTCCATGGCAGATGTACATGATTGGGATGTTCTCTGTGTCTGGCCCTTGATCAAGGCACAAATCGCTTTTCAGGGAATTCTGCAGCTAAAATAAAGAGAAAGAAAATGAAAACAAGAAAGTTTTACATGAGAAAAAGATGGTGTGCTTACTTTCTTTTCAGTAAAAAAATTGTATGTAGTTAAACAAAGAAATATGCAAAATTAAAATATGTTGCAGTGAAGATTTTGAAGGGAAAGCAACTAGATTGAATTCTTCCTTGCAGATAATCTAGCACTATTGATTTCAATACTGTTGCACAAAGTTTCAGGCAGGSAATATTCCAAAAACCCTTCAGAGATAGCAATAATTTTTTGATATATGTTTTAAGCTATTTAGTCTCTGGCACACAATACATACAGAACCTGAATGTATCGTGCTGAGTAAGATAGATGAGGTATTAAAACAGCTTTTAAGAATCACTCAGGAGATCTTCTGTTTTTTAGATGCCCTTATCTCCCAAAACACAGCAGCTGCTCTGTGGCACCCTCAGGGCTCCTCAGACAGTTTTCTGTCAGTTAGTTTTCTGTCTGAGGAGAAATATCTGAAGACAAACCTTTCACTTGTATGATCTGCTCTTATTGATCATGTTTCCTGTTTGGGAATGTCAYGAAAAAAGAAAAATCTAACTCACAGGAATCAATTTTTGTGAGAATGACACTGGATGGGAATGTGAAAAGCATGTCCTAGGTATGGCACCTCATTATGGGCCTGTGTTAACGTCCTCTGCTCATCTTCCGTGCCAYGCACACCTGCCCTCTCTGCTTCTGGGCTTGTCACTTTTTGAGGGGCAAGAATTGCTTCTGCCTTCATTGGCACTGTGTAATTCAAGTGTGATTTGGGCACAGACCAGGGCACTACTGTCACACAGGTAATGATGACCCCAAAGTGCATGGATTAACTGCAGTTTCTGTTGGATACCACGTAATCCTTGAACCTCTCTAGATTTACATGGCTTGGCTCTGKGAGGTTTGGCTACCTTGGAATGTTAGCCTTTGATTCCTTCTTGTAGCAGATGTCCACTGTGATACCTGTTCTAGGGTGGGTTGGGATTGCCCTTCAATGGCTACAAGTCTAAWAAGGGAAGGGATCACCTTTAACACTTGGATTTGATTATAGTTAAGGTCCCTTCCTTCCTAAATGGCTCCATGATTGTAAATTAAGATCTGTCTACAATCTTAAGAAGGCTGCAGTTGAAATCCAGAGCCTATTTGTGAATTCACCTGCTGCCACAAACGTGTCAGCCCCAAGGTGTCTGCAAATTCATGCCTTGATTATTTCTGTGTGGAATGCAGCCCATGAAGCAAAMAAACAACAAAAAATCAGGGAGGAAGCAATGTTCAGAACATCTCAGGACAAATGACAGCAGAGCTGTCACAGCTGTCTCTGTCAACTATCCAGTTTAATAAATTATTTTACCAGTGACTTCAAGATGATCTGATTCTTTTATTTTGAGCCAGGCATTTTCTTTGTGAATTGCTTCCACTATTACACCTTTCTGCCCCACACTTTTACAATGGGAAAGGTAAACAAGGTCCTTACCACCCCGTAGGCGACAGTATCCGAATACATTCTCATTTCTGGATACACACTGACGAGATACCACCTAAATGTCTTGCACTGGAGCTTTTTCCTTAAGGCCTTCCTCTCTGAAATATCACCAATATCAATTCCAGAGTCCTGCACATAAAACAAAGGACAGAAAAAGCAGAGAAGGCATCAGTGATACAGTTCTACATAAAGTGAACATCCAGAACGTCCCTCACTGCGGAATCACAGAACCAACAGTGGTGGAAGGGGCCCATGGGGACCATTGAGTCCACTCCTGGCCCTGCACAGCACAATCCCCACGAGTCCAAGATGGTTTTGACTTATGCCAGTGACCAGGTTTGGGTTTGAGGTGAGTCTGCTACCCACACAGCCCCCAWAAGTGCCTCAGTTAAATGTGACACGGGTCACCATGGCAGGGCCTCTGTCAGAGTCTGCTTTGGTTAATGGCACCCCTCCTATTGGCTCCAGTGGGGTTTAGATCCAGTTTCCAGTGAATATCACTGCTGTTCTTTAATTTCCTGGCACTTTGCAAATCCAAAAGGAATTGGCAGGAAGTAACAAGTTGCCCTAGAAACCTGCCGGTGTCCCCGTGAAGCCTGATCATCAGTGTATGACATTTCTGGCCATTTTTGCAGTCTGGATTGCTGCTGCACTGCAAAGAGCAGAAACTCTTCTCTGAAATAAACTTCTTTTGCAATGTAAAAAGAGAAGTTGTTGTTTTTGTCAAAAGCAGTTGCAGAATATTCTCTCCTGTAATTTTCACTCTCCTTTACATTTCTGGCTAACCTAGCTTCTACTTATCATAAGAGCAGATCACAAAGCATGATTTTCCTAAAGGCCCTGTATATAAAAGTCAATAATTTATCACATTAAATTCACGCAGCAGAAACTTTTAGAGGGGAGTCTAAGTGAAAATCTGTGGCTGCTCTTTGTCAGGAAGTAAAATGAGACATTATGCTCCACACTGTGCTCTACCACATCTGCCTCAGAGCAAAACACAGGATAAATACATTTCCATAAAGAAGTCTTAAAACCCATCTCCTTAAACTACAGCCTTTACTGGGCCATAGACCCCCCCAAAGATATTGTCAGCTGCAAGACAGGATTTAAAAATAACATTGAAAGCACTGAATTTTCTTAGTTACCAAAAAGTATTTTCTTAGTTATCAAAAAGGTATCTGTAAAAATATCTAGATTCCTGAACTGCTGAAGCAACCACTGAACCTCAAAGCACTGAATTAATGCTAATCTGGAACAAGTACATTTTATCATGGAAGCATTTTCTAGCTAAAGTAAAATTGACTTCCACATTAGCAAAGTACACTAAAAAGTACAAACTGAGATTTGGCCTACACAGATCAGGCAAAACTCAGTCTAGAAAATGGTGACTCCTCAAGACCTACATCATGCACACAACTTTATGTGGAACTACTCCTTAAGTGGCAATTTTTTTCCTAATTTTRCAGCAAGTGACTAAATAAGGAGGCTTTAGGGTGCCGAAAGACAGTCAATGGATCTCATGGACAAATCCTGCTCTGGCTGCACTTGCCAGCSTATCTGCCACTGGTGTGAAGGAAAGGAGGGTGCCAGCATGCAGACATTCCACTCCCAGCATTAACAAAGCTTCCTGACTGCTAAATTGGTTCAGTGCCTCCCAATCCTTTCTCATGCAACCCCGCAGGCACCAACGCCAGTTCCCTCAGTTTACTGTACAAGAAAGAGCATCAAGGGCCTCAGCAATCACATCCTTTCATGCAGCTGGAGGAAAAAAATAGCTCACATGGAGCACACTGCCTTTATCAGCGTGTTAAAGACATAATAAATCAGCATGTTCCCCAAAGCCAAGAATATGATGGGAAAAAAAAACCACAACAAACAAAACCAGAAGCGTGGGCAGAACACATGGAGAGCACAGTTCTTGGTTCTGGGACTTGAAGAATCTTTCCTGTGGGTTTCAAGTGCTTTTCTGAATCTATTTATCTCCGTGGCAATGGTGCAGAAATCCCCACGGCAGCAGAGGTTTCCCTTTCTGAAGCCCTGGGTTCTTCAGAGAGAAGCCTGGAGATGCCGAGAGCTGCCTAACCAGTCTGACTCCTTTCTATTGGTACTGCTCTTAGCTCCCAAAGACTACAAGCTTTGGAAACACCTGGCTTCTCCAAAATTTGGGAATTCTTCCATGGAAAAATCAGCTCTGGAGTTTTGGAATAACATATTGGAATAACATATTTCATGGAAAGTCCTGATTATTACAACAGAATAAATTTCTGTTACCTACACAGTCCACTACCAGCATCCATCAGCTTCCAGGCAGGGAATTACTCCTGCAATTTCCCAGTTGCAAMTGAACTTTGCATTCTTTATGAATTTGATTTCAAATTGCATTCAGATCTCAAATTTGCACAAGATTAAGCACCACCACCATCACATCTGGATGAATATTATGCAAATCAGTGTGTAATACTGTACATCCTGGTTAGCAATTTCCAAGTTTCGTGTTAATGCTGTGTTTACAAGTCAAAAAATTATAGACTTGGATCAATCAATGAAGACCAACCAATCTTCAGGAATATAACTAAAAATACAAAATAAAAACTGAAATTTAAATCTATCAGGTTAATCAAAAATAAAATTTGGAATTGCTTTGCCATAAAGTAGGTAACCCTATCCAGGGCAGAAATACCTTTATCCTTGTAAGGACTGCTGTGCAACTTCTCAAAACAGGGACACTTAAAGGACAGCTTGGATTCACGGAACATGAGACTTTCAGAAAAGTCCTTTCCTGTACCACGTTATAGAGGATTTTTTCTCACGGTCATGGCAACTTATGTGGCTAAAGTTGCAACCTAAAAATAGGACAATGACTTTCCCACTTTGCCAAAATTATCTAGTTTTAATCACAAGAGATGCAAGAAGCTATTGAGAGCAGCTGAACCAACATCAGCATTCTTATATTTAGCTGGGTTTTTTTCCTAACCTTTTTTTTCTTATTAGACTAAAGGAGAAGTACATAATTTCATTTCTTGAAACAGAAATTGCAGCAAAACCAGTTTCTCTGAACTGTTGTGAAATCAGAGATTTCATTTAAAAAAACCCTAATTTTCTCTTTAAGTCTAGACCATTTGCTTTTGCTATAATGATGAGAACTATACTAAGTTAAACTCCAGATCCAACTAGAGCCATGCTTTCCAGCTTCTAGGTGGAAACAACCCGTTCTACATGGATCCTGAATAAGCAAGATTTTTCAGAATAAGTACAGTCACCTTTCTCTGAGCCCTTTAGCTGTTCACAGCTGAAATACCATTGGCTACAAGGAAGAACAAGAAAGGAAGAACAGCTAAAATCAAACTGAACTCTGAGGTTGGCTCTCTGATATTCTCTCTTCAACACAATGGACCAAGCAGTGCTCATCACGGCAAAGAAATCAGGACAAGCAGTGCAGTGGGGCTGCAGCTGATTGTGCAATATGCCACAACCCCCAGCAGCCACCCTCACTCTGACAGGAAATACTCSAGTCAGACACCCTGCACTTGCATCAACAGATGTCAACGCCCCTTGGCAGATCTCTCCTCACAAATCTGGTGGAATTATAGCTCTCTGGGAGGGTGAATAAAAGACTGAAATTCAAAATAAGATCTGCAATGTAGATTTGATGGTGTTTTTCCCCCACACTTCTGCACCTACTAGTTTAAAATGTCTGTGAAGAGGTATCAGTGAAGATGATGAACTTGGTAAGAAAATAATTTTTAAGGAATCTAAAGGCAAAGGAATTATTCTGGAATAAGACACAACTACATATATATGTTTGTATGCAACTGTRGATGCATCTTATGCCTATATGTGAGCCATAAATATACGCACACGTGTATACAAATAAAATTCTAGCAGAAAAATCTGAATTCAGGGAGGATGCAAACCCTAAAGGACCTGAAGCTTGCAAGCACTGGTATCTGTCTGTGGCTCACCTCCTGGGGTATGTTCCAGGCCATRTAGACGTGGCTCTTGAACTCGTCCATCCAGACCTCGGCCACCCGCAGGGCGTTCCTCCGCACGTGCGCCGTCAGATCCTCCGTGTACGGCTTGTGCGCTCTCTCGATATGGGCAATCCTGGAGCAAGGCAGCACCTCAACGCTTCCTCCACACTGCCACACCTAGGAGGGGAGGAAAAAAGGACATTCTGGTGGTGACATGCCCCAACTCCACTGCTGGCCTCCAGCAAACACACTGGAATTGTTTCATTTCGTTGTTACAAAGCAGAAAAACCACTCACGATTTGTTGGACTATTGAGGTTGTGAGAGGAGAGAGGTGCCCTACTGTGAATTATCCCTGCTCTTCTCTGCAGAATTTCTACGATGCCAGTAGCTTCTCATTACAATCTTCCTGGATCAATTCAGCTATTTTCAGGACTCTTTATTAAATTATTTCTAGGGCACTGAACACAGTAATGCCTGGTTCAAGTTGGAGTGGCTTGCAGGCTTTTCTCTGAGGTTCTGCACAGTCCATACCAGCCCATGCATGCCCTACCCAGAATCTCAAACCAGGAAAACTAAGCAACTCTTCAAGATAACTGAAGTTTCAGGTTCTGGGAAGATGAGGAATATAAATGCATCTTATGCTCTGCTTTAAACATTGTTGAGAAAGGACCAGGTCCATTCCTTTTGAGAGTGAGCGACGAGGACTGAGACTGCCTCATGAAAATGCTGTAGGAAAAATGTTATCAGAAACCACTCTTATGATAAATTTTCAGTGTAGGTTACTGTATCTGCTCAAATATATTTTCAGTTTTGCCCACCACAACAGAGTTAATTGTACAACATTAATCACACTTATTGTATTAATTTCTGATTTTCTGCATTCAACAAAAGAGAAAACCTCTTTGGCAGACTTCAGAGTCAATGAAGTACATGAATTATTTTACATAGCAGCTCTTTTTCTGTGTATCTTGYATTATGTAAGCTTCCTAACAAGATCAAGGCAGCCCATTCATCATGGTTGAGTGGATGCAGCTGAGGTGAAACCCCAGCTGTACCCAAAATGTTTGATCCTGCTGAACAAATACCTGGGTGTCCCAGAGGCAGGTGCACTCACTGAGAAGTGACAGCAGAGATTCCTGGGGCTCGGTGTCTCGTACCAAGAGAGCAAAAAAATGGAAGCCAGGGTGCTTTTTCCTTGTAGACTCATCCAGGAGATCACATTCTGGTCTCCCTCCTGATGGCCAGGGCTGTGGGCTGGCAGAACATCCTGTTCTGGAGCTGATCTCAGACCCCGCAGCTCTGTCCACCCACCCTATAGGCATATGCTCTACTAAGGAGGCATTTTGTTCAGTCATTCATTTTATATATTTAGACATCTGGCTTGAATACAGCATCTAGGCATTTGGCAGCTCCCGAGACCAGAAAATGTGGCATGAATTCAAAAAGTTTACAAAGCTTTTTCTGAACTGGTGCCTAATTGCATTCAGCATATGGTGGGAGAAAAGATAGAGCCCTGCCTTCCAMAGCTCTGTGGAAAAGGAGCTCTACCATGAACCTGCTGCAAAACCTTCAGCACGTCTCTATGTCCAGAGCTTGGAAGRCCATAAGAGGAAATAAACAGAACAATTATCAAAATAAGGGCAAAACTGAGATGATCATAAATATTTGAAAATAAATATGCAATTGATCTGTCACAAGAATAAATAATCTGGAAACAACACTTGTGTCCTGWMTTTCTAAATATCATATTACATGGGCAATCCAGTTTAACAATCGAACAAAAATAAGAGTTTGTCAAACTTTGAATTACAAATTATCCAGCTACATCTCCTAATAAAGACTGAATGTGAAGTATCACCAGGCTGTGCTCACACAATGCCTGCCTTTTTTGTCTTATGGGTTAAATAAATAGCTTTGCTCGAGAAAAAGAAAATGTTTGCTCCAGGAGAAAACAGAGGGTTTCTTCTAAGAAACAAATGTGTTTGTGTTTTGAACTCATCTGTCAGTTTCTAGCTCAAGGCAACAGATCTCTATTAATATTTATTTAATAATGTATGTTTAATATTTTGAAAACGCTGCTACAAAGCCATAGACAAGGATAAAATTTTAGAAGTTAAAATAATATACCAAATCAGAGACCAACAGGGCTGAGTAGCAAAACAAATTCTGCAGAGTCAAGAGAATAATCCTCCAAAATCCTGTTCTGTATGGCTTGCTATGGTTTACCAACAATGGATACTTCAAATAGAGTTTCCAACAAATTTTCTTCCACTCATATGACACAAATAATTAGGTGTGTGTGCAGATAATGAGGGGGCAAAAAAAAATTCCTGGGTGAGGATAGTGGGAAAAGTCTCTCTTTAGTCAGGGTCTAATTCCTCACAGTGGTTTGGCTCACAGTACATTTATACCCTCTGGAACAAAGTCAGTCATATAAGGACACGGGACCATGTTCTACTTATCATGCTTAATAAAAACAGGTAGCTCAAATAATCCTAACACCTGCTGCTATTTCTGCTGTCAAAAACAAACTCTCTAGTTCCTCTAAATGTTTGCTCTTACAAGCTTATGCCTAAAATTTCCCTCGAGGCCAGTTAGGGCACATGAGGGCTGCTTGTCCATTATCCWGCATGATAATGCTTATCACACAGCAGAATTCTAGAAAAATCTAGATTTTCCTTAAAGAAAGGAAAACAGCAGTGGAAGATAAAGCACAGTGAGCAATATACAGTCACAGATTGGAGAGCACCATTTCAAAATGGAAACATTATTTATCGCTCTAATACTGCAATTATAATGCAGTTCTTGTAGAAYAATTGCTCTATTGGTCAAATGATTCATCAGAGGCCTCCCAGTTGAAAGCCACACAAGTAATCAGAGACATTCCAGTGCCCACCCTCCCTCTGGGTGAAGAAACTTCTCCTGACACCCAGCCTGAAGCTCCTGTGACACAGCTCCAGCCCATTCCTGGCTCCTGGCCCTGCTCTGCAGAGTGAGAGATCAGTGCCTGCCCCTCCAGTTYCCCTCCTGAGGGTGCTGAAAACCCCAAAGAGATCCCCCCTCAGTCTCACCCTGGTATTCAATGGGACACACTGAGAATTGTGACAAGAGCTGCTAATAAAGTGCTAAAAAAGCTGCTCATTACAGCTCTGGAATTTGTTCCCATGAAGCCAGGAGCACAGATCCAAGCCAGCACAAAGCCAGATAGGGCAGCACACATTCTGCCACCTTGCACACCACASTCTGCTACAGATGAAAGTGTTTTATGTGGCTCAGGCAGCTTCCCTGAAGACACAGAAAAGGCCATAAGGAAATCAGAGCATTGATGGGCCTTATTCCATTCAGTGATCCAGTCTGCTGCRGTGTTTCAATTTGTGTCTCTCTCATCTTGTCTATCAACAAACTCAGCAATCAGCCCCTGCAAGGCTAAGCACTGCAGAGCAGACGTGATGCAAACGAGAGAAAACTTCTCGCACTCGCAAGGAAACAATAGTTTTTTGTTGGTTGAAAAAGGAACAGAAAAATCAAAGTGACATTAATTTTCAACTCACTGCAACGCTGAGCTGCAAAATAAGGTTTTGGAAACTGAAGGCAGCTCTCTGGCCCTCGCAGTGAGAAGAATGGTGTTATTAAAAGAAGCAGTCTTGCGTTTCTCTCTTCCTTTTCGTAAGAAAGTGCTCTAATGTAGCTAAAAGGGGGCCTGTGCTTCGCTCTTGCTGAAATAACTCTTTATCTCTGACAGGTGGAAGAAAAAGAATTTCAGGAACCCAGAAGTAAAAATGAGAATTTTTGTTATATCTTGCAATCCCAGCAGAGAATTCTATATTCTTGCAGTAAGTTTTTTTTTTTTTTTGGTTTTTTTTTTTTTTTTTTTTGCTATTGTACAACATTATGCTTTTATTCTGGCAACTAAAAGGCACAAAACACAATGTTACCTTCCATTAACGTTTCATAGCAGGGTTGACAATTTAGTTTTATAACACATCACTCCATTTTTCATGACCATTACCTGCCTAAGAATTCCTCTCTTATCAGAAACCTGAGAGATTCTCAAAGAGAACAGCACTGTATTTTCAGAAAGATATTTACCTGTGAAGAGATACAGAAAGTACACAAATCACACACAATACAACATTATAGCAAACAGGTGAAGCGTGTACAATGGAAAAGGAAAATATGTGCAYTTCTGCACTTTATGAATATCCTAATTCCCTTCCCTCTGGAAGACAGTATAAATACCTCTGTATCTCACTTTGCTCCACAGTGATTTTTCTAATTTAAATAAAGCAAGTAATCTGGAAGAGCTTTTCCCATCACACCTGTTATTGAGTCTAGGATCATGGGGAAGAAGGAAGTTTTAGGTATCAACACTGCAACATTCTAGCACTGTTACCTGAATGAAAGAACAATCCTAAATCCTGCACTTCTTATCCTTGTCCCAAATTARACTCTTAAATGAGAGCTTTTGCTCTTTTTTCCTCCTTCTCAAATACCACATTTACATGYCTGCAGAGCTGTGGATCACATTTTCCTGCCATCATCCATATGTTTTTGATTGCTTCCCCCCCGCTGCAGTAAGAAGTAAACTGAATTTTCAATGTAAGACACCAGTGTTGACTAATCATGTTCCTTACCCTGATTCCGAGCTCCACGTTCTCTCCTCCATATATTTCCATGCCTTCATCCAGTAATCCAATCTCTTGGAAGTATTCTCGATCCACTATGAAGCATCCAATCAGTGCAGGGCTTCTGGAAGAACAAACCAGCAGCAACCAAAATAAGCAGCTAGATTATGAAGAATTTTATTATCCAGACAAGGATTATACTTATAATTGCTGGGTAAAATGGTGCAGCAAAACAGATTCTGAAGGATGTGTTTCTCAAAGAGATTAATTTCACCCTGCCTTCTAATACCWTTAATTCTAAAGTAAAATATGTGCTAGTGAAGGAAAATAGAGCCAAAATTATCGGACACAGAAATCCACCAGAGCAGGTAGGATTTCAGTGCTAACAGTGAGAGATCCAGGAGCCCCAGTTTGGTTCCTGAGGCAAAGGCCAGTGCAGTCTCTGCCCTTGCTAAGCCCTCAAGTCTCTTGTCTGTGATAACTGCAAAGGACACCTGCTGATGCACAGTTCTGTGTGGCTAGGCAGAAGCAAGGTTCAGCTAGAGCTAAAAAACTTGTGTCTCTATGCTTATGTAAAAAAAAAAAAAGAGATTATTTCTTGAGTAGGAACATCCAGATAAGGTTTTTTAATACAGAATCAAGGAAAGTCTGCCCTTACCAGCRTAGTGTAACATTGTCCTGAGCCAAATTCAAACACATTGCATATCTTTACTGGATCAGTAATCTGTATTTATGTCATGGTCTGAACCAAGCCATTTTTACTATACAGAGACAATTTTAATAAGGTAAGGGTTCAGCCACAGAGGGTATGATTTTACCTTTATGAGATGCAGTGGAGAAGGATACAGAGACATTTRGCCTTTTCATTTTTCTCCTACCTTATAATGCACAATGGCAGAAATAAAAGAAAAATGTCTTTCCTGATTATTATGCTGGTATCAGGCACTCTGGTAATAAGAGGATATTAATTAGCAGGATGGGGGAAATCACCCTGCTTTTATTGAGGACACTCAAGCTACAGTAAGTGTAGACATCTGCTTTCAAACAGATTATAGGGTGTCTTAATCACAGTTTGTGCAATTCTGCAGAAATCTATATATTTATACCTTTAAAAGCTATAGTGCTCACTCTAAAACAATGAAAGGCTGTTTCTGATACATTTATTAATGAAAAAGAAAACCAGTTAACATCAACACAAAAGCTWTGCTTCTTCTGTGATAAGATACTTCTGCTTCTGTTGCTGTTTCTAATGTATTTCTCAGAGTATCTCCTTCCCTTTGCTAGAATTCTAAAAGCAGAATGGAGGCACGATAGAAACCATCAATCAACACACATGGCTTTGTTTGTTGGTTTGTTTGTTTTAATTACCCAACACACACATGCACCATATTGCACTGAATAAAACACGTGCCAGGGAAAGGGCTAGGGAGCAAACCTGAATGTCCAGTGTTCACAAAGGACATTCACTCCCCAGTCCTCATATTGAACAGGGTTTGGGGGTAAAATGGAAAAGMGGATTTGCTCTTTATTCTGTGTTTAAATACTTTTAATTTTAAAAGTCAYCATAATAATTAATCTATGTAGATAATCACAGGACCCTAAATATCATTTAGCTCCAGACTCCAGCCATGAGCAGGCACATCCTCAAACAGATCAGGTTGCTCAGAGCCCCATCCAGCCCGGCCTTGAACACTTCCAGTGATGGGGCAGTCACAACTRCTTTGGACAACCTGTGCCAGTGCCTCACTACCCTCACAGRAAATGTTCTTGCCAGGATCTAATGTAACCCTGCCTCTGCCAGTATAAAGCCATTCCCACTCATTCTATCACTAGCCACCTTTTGTCCCTTGCCAGCTCTCCTGGTACCACTCTTTAGGCAGTGGAAGGTAAATCTCTGTCAATSTCCCTRGAGCCTTTCCTTCTCCAGGCTGAGCAGCCCCAGCTTCTCAGCCTGTTTTTATAGCAATGTTTTTACAGCATTCATAGAGTTCATTGCCAGCGATAACCACTTCTAATGATGTGGGAATTATCACCCCTTTTTGCATATGTCTGTCGCAAACCTGTTAACTTTTATCTCCTGCTTTCCAATTCTAGGCCCTGTTCATGGGCCAGGCCAGTTCAGAGTGTGTTGACAGCACCTGAGAGAAGTGCCTGCCTCTAAAGACAGAGCTATGGGTTGAAAAATAGCTGCCACTGCTCTTTGAGGATTTGCTTTTCAGCTGGTGCAGGGAGCTGGAGCTCAGGTCCCAGAGGCCCCTGGCAGGGAATGCATCTGTGTCAGGAAGGGTTTGGATCCCAGAGAGCTGCAGAGAGGAGCTCTCCCCTCCCTGAGCCAGAGGGATGCTCTGGAGCAGCCTCACACCGCTCTAGGCATGAGGAGAAGAGAAGGTACAGACCCAGACTGTCCCAAAGCAAGGATCCAACAATGGCAGTGAGCAAACATTGGCTCCTAAGACAGCTGTACAGCTGGGTGACAGCGTGGCAAAGAGTGCAGCTGCAGATCAGCTCTGATTGTGCAAAGATCTGCAAAGTGAACTCTACTTGTGCCCATTAGCACTAAATTAGCAGAGGAGAATTTGGARTAAACAGTGCTGCTGAACAGTCTTTTCTGCCATCCTACTTTGGCAAGAAACCGACTTAAAAAAATCTTAAAATCTTAAAAATTTTGAAGTTTCCTTTAAAACCTTTTTAAAGAACCAAGAGTTTTCTTGATGACTGTGTAGGGGTCAAAGACAAAACTGARGAGAACAGCTCAAGGACATTTAACTATTTTTACTTTACAGAAAGTAAAACCTATTACATCAMTGAGCCCACTCAGCCCCTGCCATGCCAGGGAGAGCATTGCCAGTGCCAGCCTAAGCCAGGCCACAGTTACCTTATTGGAGCAGTKGTGTTCTCCAGCTTCCACCAGGACTTGGGAGGGTTCAGATACCGGCACCACAGCTCCCAGTCAAACCCCTGGGCTGAGAGGGGGTACTCCTCTATTTCAAAATTGTCATACTTAATGTTATCAAATGACGGAGAAATTACTCTTTTTCTGTTTTCTTTTATCCTGGTGAGCACTGGTTCAGCCCTAAAAAAAAAAAAAAATGGTTAAGATTCCATCAGTAAAAGCATAGCACTGATGGAAATCACAGAACAGTTCGGGTTGGAAGGGGCCTTTGGAGATTTCTTAGTCCTCTCATCAAATAAACAGCAGTGTGTGCTGTATTTTTCAGAAGCACAGTCTAAAGCTGTTACCCATTCAGAGCTGCCCTGATTCAAGATGGAGTTTTGACAGTGCAGGATTTGCCCCAAAATGACACAGTGCAATATTTTCTCTAAGATGACCTATTGTTAACCTTGATTTTAGCTGGTGGATGGAAGAAATGAGTATCTRCATATCATAGAACATTTATACCCTTTCCACCAAGTAACAATAACTTCAGGCTCTCAACATGGTCAAGGACATCAAGATCAGAGCTAATAATAGATTTATCCTAGGGACAGAAGATCCTGACTTTTTACCATCATTTTTACTTAAGATGCAACAGAGATATTAAATCCAGACTGAACATTATTTTAGTTATGYTTACTTTTGCAGAGTGGCCAAAATAACACCTCTTTCTTTACACTGCAGAACATACAAGAAACATAATGTTTTTAATGCAAAGGAGATACATTTGCCCTCATGGGCAAAGGCCTACACTTTTGGAGGAGGTTTTAAACCTGTAGTTTTCCAATGGGATTTAAATACATTGCAATGAGATCAGCAGATAAACCATAAGAACAGATCTAGATCATRTTACACAGCACGAACACATTTTTCCTGCTTGTGTCCATGATTATGTCTGAATCTTCATTAAAAAGTTCAGAATGCTAACTCACCCTCTATCTGCAAGAGACATGCCAGTCAGTAACGGAACACCAGGGCTGGGCAAAGGTCCCTGGGTCAGAAAAACTCGAGGAGGACATACCATCCCACGTTGAATTCCACGTGGGCATCGAAGAGGGCGACGACGGGCGCGGTGGCCGCTCTCCAGCCGCTGACCCGAGAGCGGATCAGCCCCTCCTGCTTGCTGTGCCTCACCACCTTGATGAACCCAGCCTTGTGGGCATTCACCTCRTCAACATACTGCTGCAGCTTCTCCTTCAGCTCCTCTGCACCAGGCAAAGAATTAGGTGTTAACACAAAGTGTCAGCTCAACAAGATGTAAAAACCTGCTCTTTCGGCAAAACAGGGGCAGCCTTCACACAGCTGCTAATTCTCAAATAGTCAGTCTAAAAGGAGATGAGCAAAAAGAAGGACCATCAATTATATAGCAATAAAAACAAATCAGTAATAAAAAACAGAAATCATTGTTGATTTGCTGGCAGAGAAGMTGTCAACTTGTTTATTTGCTGCCAAATAAGTTGCAACTTGTTTCTCATTTTAGAAGACCATGTTGTTCTCCTTCCACTCTGTGTACATGAGCAAAGCTTGAGTTTAGGAGCAATAGGTCATGAGGAATAATTATTTCATCACCTGTAAGACTGACAGACCATCTATTTAGGCACAGAAATATCTTTAGGCTTCCTGAAACTTACCCTAATTTGATTAGCTATGCAATATTTTTTTCAACTTCATAAAACATTAATGCTGTTAACATCTGATTTCCTTTTTTTTTTTACTTTCTTTTTCCAATTATTTCTATTTCTACTGTATGCAAATCTGCCGGTATTTGTACTGCTTGAAAAGATTGCTTCGAATGGAAGGTGGCAGCTTTTGAAACATTAAACACTGGTTAGACAGGCACTGGGCCAAAGGAGTGTGCCAGKGAGGAGCAAAGGAACAATGCAGCAGCTGACACAGAGCTATCTGGAGAGAACTGAAAGCACTTAGCAATTCCATCAAGGTTTTCCCTGCTGCCAAACCAAAACAACAATGATTCCTGCTGCCATGTTAGCCAGCAYTCATCATGCTTCTGAATTACTTATTGGAGAGTTCGCACTGCAGCACAGACAAACCCTGGTACAATTAATGAAAGGAAAATTGTCCTTTGAGTTGGTACCAAAAAGCATCTACCACTGCTCTCAGATTATGCTTGAAAGGAAACTAATATGAAAAAAAAATAAAAAAAGTCACCATTTTATTCACAAGCACCACTGCAAAATGCCAGAGTGGCAGAAGAATTCAGCTCCATGCAGGTCCCCAGTCAGAAGTTGTCACATACCAGACTGTCAAGGGAGCAAGATTTGCCGTGTCCTATAGGAAACTGGCTGCAAAACTCACCCAAAAACCCCACAGACTTCCAGACACATGTGAAAATCACAAAGAACACGAAGGGGGTTTCTATTTTTATCATATAAACTGTATTGCCATCCATATGGACTCACATACACCCAGACTCTCACAACAGATTCCACCAAGTGGTGTTAAAAACAACTCTGGTTATGGAGGCCCAGGGAAAACAAAACATTTTCCCAAATAAACTGAGTGAGGAAAAACAAGCAGGAAATTCTGACTCTCTCACAGCCTAACCTCTAAGTCTTCATTTTTCCCTTGCTAATTGCATTACCATAAAGGAAAACTTTAGCTTTTATTCACCTTCATCGCATTTTCCCTGAAGTTTTAAATTAAATGTCCCCAAAGTTTCCCAGGCTGCTGCTTGAAGCACACTACTTTAAATAGGTTGCTTTTCAAGTGTGAAARGAAGGAACACATTTCAGTGACATCCCCAGAAATTACCAGCAGTGAAGACAAGTGAAGTGAAGAACAATTAATTCAAAATTTGGCCATTCAATATACTTTGAGAGCACTTTCAAAAAACTCAATGCCAAGCCTATCTACAGAAAAGCATGCCAAAAGAAAAGCCAACATGAACTGATTTGGGTTTTTTTAGAATTCACATATCCTTTGTTAAAATGTCCTATATTCGAACTTCAGACTTAGATTCAACAATGCCTTTAAAATATCTGTCAAYGCCTATAAATGTGCCTTTGTGTAAGATTATTGGGTGACCACAGAATAATCTGTATTCATTCACATAWTTTGCTACCTGATTTTTATCATTTAGTGATACACTTGAACACTCTYAAATACTTCCTCAGGCAAATCTGTTATCATGACTTGGACCCTTCAACACATGAAGAATTTTGAGGTTCTATCGCAAAGAAATTGAAGTGTTTGAAATTATCAGTTCTGGCAGGAAGTTTTACCACTACTTTAAGCTAAGAACTCAGCATTGATTTTATGAAAGTTATCTTTTTATTCATTTTTCTTTTCAAGAAAAGTATGCTTGGGTTGAGAAGAAAAGGTACATTTTAATTAAGTTCATTTCAAAGGCAATTTCTAGCTCTTGACTTTCTATAGGACAAAACCCTTTAACTCCTTTGTCTGACACTACAGAGCGTTTTCCCCACACCCTGTCCAACTCTTTCAATGATAAGTGCCATTCTTTTGATAAGGAAAGAGAAAGAATTAATTTAAGAAGTCATTCATGCTCATAACAGCTTACATTACTTGAACATTTCAAATGCAATTTGTACCAAATACTTCATGGGCAAAGATGTCAAAAAGAAATAATCTGATCAATCCACAGTGTCACACTGACATCAACAGATATTGGCACTTTTCTTATGAGCTCAACCAAATCTACACAAGTAGTGGCTGCTACTTGAATTTAGTGACACGTGTTTGAGAGCATTAGCAACAGAAACCATTCAAGCATTTTTGGAGGCAAAATAATCTGACAAATGTGAAAGGGAGGGGAGAAAGCTGGGGCGTATGAAAGGTTTTCCAATCAAGCAATTTCTCAGAGATCTCTAGTGATTGATTTCAAGGCTAAAATCACAGTGATGGTACTGAGAAGTGCACCCAGGCAGTATTTATGTGCTGGTGTTTCACAGTCGGGATGCCACCAGCCCAGGGCTCTCCCAAAGCACAAAGGGTGAATCCATTCCTACCAGAAGAGCTTAGAAGAAGCCTGTCCTTAGTGCACACGACTGCAGCCTTTAAGTGTGGTCACATATGGCTTCAGAATCACACCTGACACAGGTGATCCTACTTTCTGTAAGCTGACCCAAATTATTCTTCCAAAATATCCCAAAGTGCCAGCGTGCAGCTATTTATATCACCTAGAAAGGGGAACTGTAATTTATTCATGTATTTTAGGCTTTGCTATGAGCAGTAACTTGTCATGAGAGGGTGGCAGGACAGGCATGGGGATGAAGGACAGGAACACCCTGGCAGTGYGTTTGTACCTCTGGTCATTTAGCACAGTATGAGCTGGCACACTGGAACCCAAGCTAAAACAGAGGCACCACGAGAAAAGGCCAGTCCTGTCAGACTTGGTGTGCTGCTTTTGACACAGGAAACGGTGTTTATCTGCAGCACTGCGAGGGGATCAGGGCTGAACGGGCTAAATCACATCACGGGTGGATAAAAGATAAGAACACCACGCATTAACTTCTGAGCACTGCTGGCTAGGGAAGATTCAACTCATAGCATTTTCTGAATGCTTGAGTCATAAAGTCTGATGTCAGGAGACTGCAATGAAAGCTCTGCCCACACAGCTGCCCCCTGATGTGGCAGAGGTTCTGCTATCAGCTGGCACACACACTGAAATGTTGCCTTTGCAGCCACACCAACAGACTGAACTGGGCAAAGGATTTAAATACCTGCTCTGCTGAAAGGCCACTCTGTCCCTGCCAGCACCTTCTGAGCTTCCAGAGAGGCAAATGGTCCAACAGCACTGGAACTCTCCTAACTGCCCAGAAAAGGAAGGCTGAGGACCTTCCACTGGAGTTGCAAAGACTGGAGAATGTGATAGTTCCCAGGAAAGAACTCCATGCTGGTTATGAAATAACTTCCATACAACTGTAAGTCATGGCCACAAAAAACCAGAGCCTTGCCTCCAGCAAGGGATGACATCCCAACCCCACTGTGTGATGGATGTCTGATGGGGTCTGGGGTTCAGGCATGGGGGAATTGGAAAAGCTGAATGAAAAGTATCCTACGTAATTATTCTTGAATGAAAGCAAAAATAGAATGGAAAAACACGTACGGAAAGGAGGCATCAGAAAGAAAAAGGAAGAAAATGGGAAATGATAAAAATACGTCACAAAGGAAGGAATGGAATATTACTGGGGGTGGAGGAAGGGAGGCAGRGAGGGATGATTCAGGCAGGAATTTAATTACTGTGGCTGAAAGCAAGGAAAAGCTGAATGGTGAGATGTGAAAAATGGAGGAATGCAGTTTGTGACGAAGTGCAGCAAAAACTGGGATAGAGGAGATGATAAGAGGCACAGGTACCCAGGAATTTGAGAACATGCAAAAGGGAGACCCCAGCTGAAGGACACAAGCTCACAAAGAAGGACGAGTTGTACGGGATGGCAGCGAAGAAATGAGCATTCAAAAAGGGCACACTGCCAGGGTAGAGGGAGTCCAAGCAAAGTGGACTGAGAGAACAAAGACCAAGGAACCAGACCACTCCTGGAGGAAAAGAAGCAGGAATGAACACAGGAGGTGAAAAAGGTGTGAAGAGTGATACATCAGAAAAAAAAGAGGGGTAAGAATAATTGGGACAGATGGCCTTATTCATCAGAAGTGTCCTTCTCTTCTCTGCTGCACTGCACACTTCATTCTAATATCCTACTCCGCGAACTCTCCCCTTTAAAGCCGGGATTAAATCCATGGTCACAAGGACTCAGAAGAGGAGAGAGCAGTCTGCAGCCACCGTGGGTGAACACATTCAGGACACAAAGTCCCCATAAAAATCTCAGTCTATTTACATTAGTGGTTGTATTTCTTTTTCCAGCAGAGTTCTGAACTGCATGGCCAGGCCACTCTCTCACATTCCTGAGTAAGAACATTCCTCATGCTCAGAGTAAGAAGAACATTCTTCACGCTCCGAATTCTGCTGCTGGCTGGAACAGATGGGCAGAGGACAAGGGTTTGCCTGCGGTTATTTCCTTCTCCCGTCTTTCCACAGTGGCTGGCACACCTGGCTGCAGTCCCAGCAGACATATGCTCCAAGAATCGCCTCCATTAATTCAAGTTGCAGCGCTAAACGTGGCTAAAGTCAAAAGCAGAGTTTGTAACAACAGCCAGCACTGCTCTCAGATCTACAATGGAGCACATTTCCTGGTCTGTACATAAGTAAATGCTTTTTAGCATCTGAATCCTAACCAGCATTGCACAGCCCTCTTTACCTGTCAGTTCCTGCCAACCCTTCTGAAAGCTTCCCTGCGTAAAAAATGGGCAATAATGATTTCAGCATCAAGACCTTTAGCTAATGTGGAGAATCAATCTAGGCAGATAAAGTAAAGGCTTCCTGAGGCATAAACCACAGCCCAAATGTGAATGCAGGTTTGGATGAAGTTTGGCTGTTTCCTTGTTTTCAGGTGTTTCTGTTTGTCTTGGAACTTTGGTGACATTCAGGTAAGGGAAGAAAAAGAAGCAAACCAGGAAGAAAGCAAGACCTAAGGTTTTCCCTGGGAGATTGCTATTAAAAGGATTTTTTATAGTTGCCATCTTCMAATTGTGCTGTGCTATGAAACCTATCATGCATTTGAACAGCAGTCTTGAGATTTATTCACCACTGCTTTTGTAAAGGAAAAAAAAAAATCAGACAGTCTTCAATTCCCACATAACTCTTAAGAATTACCAAAGAAATATACTTTTTTAATGAAAAGCTCCAGATGCTTTTTGAAAAGTTTCTTTTCAGTCAGTGATTTGAGGACAATCCCTCACAGGTGATACAGTTGCACCTGACCCACTTTCCACCAGTCTGTGCTAATTCCCAATGCTGCAAGACATAAAATTCACATTCTATGATATCCAGCATTATTACTGCATTTCAATAGCTGTATTCATGGAATCTCAGGACAAAATGAGAATCATTACACTGAACACACAGCAATATTTCATTCGTAACTAATGCTTCTAGGAAAAGGAAGAAACCTTACAAAATCTGAGCCTCTAGTGCAGTATTATTAACTACAATGTGAAAAAAAGTCATAGAGGATGATAATTACTGCTGTAGTATTCAATGCTGCAAGGCATGCTCTGGACACACTAATGGCCACTGCCTCCTCTTGAAGCTGAACTCAGCATGGCTCACAACCAGCTTTTTTAGAGAGATTTCAAATCATCTGAAAATACCTTCAAGGGGTACTTTGTAATGCAGTGGTGCTCAATGCCAGCAAAAAAACCTCAAAAGCCAAGCCAAGGCTCCAGTGGCACAGGTCACCACCCTGTCCCTGGAGAGGCAGGATGCAACAAGGCAGAGGGAAAATAAACCACAATGCCAACAGKCTCCAGCTCAGGCAATCCTGCTCCTAAATACATTTCTGAAGTCTAATTAACCACCAGCAGTCATGGGTGTGGTCATTTAAATTTTTTAAGCCTCTTCTCTGAAAATAAAAATTAAACTCTGCTGCATCTGAAGGCAAAAAGAAATAAATTATTATGTCGACAAATTGTAAACTTCTGGGTACATTATCTCTGCAAAAAAACCTCAGCACTACTGAGGAGAATGGGAAAGATTCTGATCTGACACTTAAAACTACAGCAAAATACCTGAAATCTGTGCAGTTGCTTAGTCACCAGCATGATTAAGACCCAAATGGGACACAAATGATCAACACTGATACTTGGCYTGTTATACCAAAACTTCTGTTCTCATTACACAGTACAAGGACAGTCACTGAAATGTGCCCTTTTTATCCTTCCATTAGATTAAATTTTACTACTAATGTACCTAACAGCATGTATGAAACAATTCAGTGTAATGCCTATCAGGATTCCACAGAAAAGATGGTGTGGCGAAAAACACACATTTAGCCATACAAACGGCTTTTTTAAGTAAAGGAGCAAAATTTTAGGACCTGCAGAACCTATTTTCTGCTTTTAAATGGCACACACTGGCATTTTCACCGTTTCCTAACTCCAAACATTTATTTTTTAAAAAGGGAAACTTCACAAAGAGATTAAYTGAGGTCTCCCGAAATATAATTGGGAACTTGAAAAACTGCACTGAGAAAGTCATAGATAATTTGCTTGGCATACCTTGAAGTACATTAAATAAAATACTATAGCACATATTGTTCAAGACAAATGTACAGATTTTGGCTCTAGACTTGGATTAAATTGTTTCTGGAATTTAAAAAAAAAAGTCTAGTTCTTCCATTGCTCTTTTCCAAAATACAGGTCCACAGAAATTTGGGATGTATTAAAAGATGCCCATTCGGACTCTGCCAGATCTCTAGGCTCACTTTTTGTTTCCAGTCACTTCACACAGCATGACGATTCCTGTCTGTGAAGTCTATGGCTGTGGCACAGAAAGAAACCTTGCATTAAGTTAGAGAAGCTGCCATTCCTGGCAAAAGTTTGAGGGTAAAAATACCACAGATGCCTGTGAGAAGCAGTGGCTGGAGCCCCTGCAAATACAAAACAAGTGCTTGCCCCCTCAGGTAACATCACAGGGAAACCCAGAGTAACCCGCTTATCTTACAAGCAGCAACACTTGCAATGTAAAGAGCTACTCACAAAAACACAGAATGACATAAATATAAAGGATTCATCTCAGCGATGCTAGAAGGGGGAAAGGAGAATAGAAAATAGAGTACTTTAAAGGGAAAAGTAAGTTTTCAAATAAATATTTCAAGATTTAAACTAATAGTAGGAAAGCCCATAAATCATCTTGACAATCACTCCTGTTCCAAGCATCCATCTGCCTATTACCAGCTCTTCAGCATACATTATGGGATAAAGAGGACTGTAGAAATCTGATTTACTACTGCAGGGAAGAGATGCCAGAGAAAGGGTTAGAGAGTAGCATAAAATCCTGTAGAGAGTTGCATTTTTCTAGGAGACTAACTATAGCTCTGCACAGCGTGATTTTGTATAAAATGACACGTAACACCAAGCCAAGGCAGCCAAACCAAAGGTTACCTTCCTCTCAATTTCTGTCTCCCTGCTTGGGGCCAGGAACCCAAGGATTTAAGGCACTGGAGGGTAAGAAAGGCAAGCTTTCTGAATAAAAGGCAGAGGAAATCATACAATTATTATACAGTACAGCACCAGTACTGGTGCTAACAAAAAATGAGGCTGGACAGGTTTTCCTGAAAGATAAAGTAATTCCTGTGATTTCTTATCTATTTCAGGTATGAAATAATGAAAAAGAATAATTTTGACAAGTTTGTAGAGCACAGTACAGAGAGTATTTGTTAGTGAGCTGATCACAGTGGTGACAGGCTCTCAGAAACACTGATGTTCCTGACACTGCTCTGCAATGCCCCCACTAAAATAACTGCCTGTGAATTATACAGTATCAGACTCAAACTCTAGAAGCCACTTTTTTTCCACCAGATATTTCTCTTCTTTTACACCTGCTTTGTGGCCAATTTGTCYGTGTCCAGAGACCTCAGGCCCTGCAGCACCAGTGGCCACTCAGATTGAGCTCCTGTTTGAAAGGTGCAGAAATGAATTTGCACGAATTGTAGAGCTCGAGCCCACCAGCCAAAGCTGTGTTTCAATGCTGTGCTCTTTCCTATCGAATTGCCACGTGTTGCATAAGAGAGAGAGGAGAAAACTGAAGGTACAGGCCTAGACCAAGTTGCTGAGTTTTGTGTGTACTTTGAAGAGTCAGGATWGCATCTTTTCCTTCTCTCCTAGTCAACAGAAGAGATGATGACATGCATAGCCTGGGGTGGGGAACTTACTTACTTGCTTCCCAATAATTTCCTTCTCTGTACAAATCTGAGATACATTCGTGATCAGCAGCAGCTCACAGGATTTAGCTCCAGGGATATGGCCAGATAACAGCAGTCACGATGGCAAGGATAAGAGAAGCCCTTTGTTCAGCATTCCCCTTCAAGGGGATAAACYCAGATTCTCCTTGTATTTTAGCAGTTCAGACTTAACCCCCCCAGCACAGCAGAATTTTTATTTCAATTCAGCATTCTGTGCTTATTAAAATTTCACCTCTAAAGTTGCTAGAAAATAAGACTTGGAAATAGTGCCCAGCATGGCCTCACTAACAACCACCCTGGAAGCACTGAGCCATCAGATACAGGCAGTGCAATCCTTCAGATCATGGAGAGCAACATCTGAGCACAGACAGCAGRGAAGCAGCGAGGTAAATGCTGCTAATGAGGAGAGGAGAACTGGAAATCTAAAGGAAAGGTCTAAGAAAGACATTTTACACAAAATAGAAGGAGAATCACAGGGTGGAAACAAGGAAAGCATTGAAACCATGAGCTTGAAAACACTCTGAAATACTAAGGATAAAACTTTAAGGTCTTAGGCCTCTAATCTACTGTTCCATTCACAATTCTGCCTACCAGAGTTGTTAAACACACAGTTATTSTGTCTCTGAACACACTTTTGAACAYKCCCCACWCGTGCAGACTTGCAGACAGCCTGGCAAGAGTGTGAGATGAAGAAGGGAGAAAACACACACGGGTAACATTTGAAACACCAACAGTAGGAGCAAGAGGCAGAATGAAAGGTTTCTCAGGTGTGATTCACCCTGGGGCAAGAAGCACAAGCTCTTACCGTTGTTACTGTTGTCATCAACCAGGATGATCTCCTTGAGGAGGTGAGCGGGAGTGCGCTCCATGGCCGAGCGGATGGAGCGCAGCAGCACCGAGAGCGCCTCGTTCACRAAGATGAACACGATGCTCACCTCGGGAAGACGCTCAGGAAACGTGAGGTTCCTGCACCTGACGGGAAAAGTCAAAGAGAACAAAAGAGGTGAGCTGCTGAAAGTCACAAAGCAAACAAAAACTGTTTCAGATAAATCTACCCCCAGTCGTAAGAGYGCATTAAAAGATACAGCTCCAAAAGAACACCCTGCTACAAAATCCAAGATAGAAAGGGCAGCCAGAAATCAGGTATWATAATGGAAAACTCACCAGTGCCTGTTATCTTAGCGATACGCTTGCAGCCAAAAATGAATGATGTAAAATGGTCCAGCAAACAAATCTATAGCCACTCTATCTTTTAGCTGCCTACCCTAGGCACAGTAATATTTGTTATTCTCAGCCATAGCAATATATAAAGAAGATAAAAATGAAAAACTRACAAGATACATCACCAATCAGATTAAGAAAAACAGGGATTTTTGAATGTACTTTGAATGGCAATAAAAATACAATGAAAATAGTTCAAAGAAGTTGCTTCTTTAAATACTGGTGGTTTTTTTTTTCTTCTGTCAATTCAGCTAAGTTTGAGATAAATGTAAAATACACTGTTGCAAGACATTAGTGACAAATATTAAAAAAATGCTCTAGATGACAAAACCAGCCTCCAATACACTGCTGCCCTGCATTATCACAAATATGTCTGTCRTCATCTCTCTGCCAAGTTTTATGAGGAATAAAATTCCATAATGATAGGAACGAACAAAAAATAGGTACAGAGAGATGGGGGTGTGTGCCTAAAACATGCTGAAGGGGAGAAGAAGAGAGGAAATGGTATGGATGGCAATCTCAGAGCCACGGAGTGGGAGGATGGAGCGGTTGCGTGGCAACCACGCCGGGCAAGTGTCAGTGCCCAGGGCTCTCTCTCACACCACAAASCCCCAGACACTGCTCCAGTGCCCCCACACAACTGCAGACACACATTCCAAATGCCATTTGCAGCTACAATTGTGCCAGTCCTCCACAAAGCTGAGAAATCACCGCCAGCAACCCACTCTGCTCAATGACAGCGGGCGAATACCGCCAAAGTAGCAGTTGTCATGGTTACCAGAAATTCGGAGAAACTCCTGGTGCTCTATTTCAAGCACAACTCTGGGAAATGGAGGGCAGCACACATTATGAAGCTCCTTTCAATTACTGGTCCCCAAGACTTCTATATTCCTCCCCACATTGTGATAATTCAATAAAAAAAATCAGTTTAGCATAATTATGCAGTAAGAACAAAAGAAATTGATTTCCTGTATTAATAGCTTATCTCTGAGACCTTCTACAAATATGTACATAAATTATGAGCACAAATTATTTTCTGCAAACTTTGAAAACTTTCACTAAGARTATCACAGCCAACAATGAAAAAAACATGTTTTTGTTTAAAAAACAACAAAAAAAGCATACATTCCACTTTTTTTTTTTTTTTAAGATACAGTAAGGATGTTGCTAAAACATTTGGGGTACAAGAGTTGTTTTAGGAACACATGTGGGAATGAGCTCTAGCTCCAACTGTGYATGAACTTCTCAAAAACACAAACAGAAAAAGAATTGTTCTTTCTTCAAGAACCAGTAACATTTTGTCCACAGCCAGAATACCAAACAGAAGTTCAAAATACATGGCATTAAAAAGAAAATCGCATTCTGGCATAAATGAAATAAATAGCACTAAAACTCTGGCAAAAGAACTGAGTATTGTAAGAACTCCTGCATTTCCAGCTGCTTGCCTCAACCATGGGTTTCACCACTAAAGGGCCCCAATTTCACCTGCCTTACGCTCTTAATCAGGTGGTTCTGGGCTTCCAAAGACAGCAGCTCTTAATTTCTTCCTATCTTAGCCCGATTACCTGATAAAAMTGAAAATCTGCATTGAAAAGTTCTTCCTTCAGCAGAAGAACACCAGCTACCTCACATGAACTGTAGATGAGATAGAGATTTTAATGCTTGGTGGGATTTTACCMGGCCTGGCTTCGGGCCCTGCAGTGTTTTAGAAGAGAAGCACAACCCTCACACAYATKTGACAGAAATGAGCCAYTGTGGCTGTCMCACRTGCCCTSCCTGTAACACACCCTGCAGAGGGACAGAGCTCTGGCACTCACCCGGCGGGGCGCAGGCCTGGCTTTGAGCCCTGCAGTGTTTCAGAAGAGAAGCACAACCCTCACACA